TCATCCTGAGTGAGGTAACCCAAACCCAGAAAGACAGTTATGGTATGTACTCACTCATTGGTGGATTCTAGATATAAAATGAACAATCAGACCACAACCCATAGAACCATAGAGGCTATATATATAGCATGGAGGTCCCTAGGATGACTGTGGCATATAATAAATTTCAGTTTTACTCAAAAAAAAAAAAAGAGTCACTGTCTTTCAATGTTATTTGCCATTTTTACTGGCTGGTAGAAAAGAGATTTGAAAAGGTCTATAGATACACTCAAGATCTTAAATTTGGGTGGTAATGGTCCCAGTCTAATTTTACAGGCTCAACATCTTTTCACTGACTCTTGGATTGAGTACCTTGAGGATTCTGAACACAATAAAATATCAACCACTCATGAAACAAATGGTATAAATGTAAAAATTAACAGATTTCATGGGGTAATCATGAGTTTTAAAGAACAGGTACTTAAATGAAATACTGTGTGGAGAAATCTGAAATAGCATAAAGTTTCAGATAATCTTGTATATAACTGATCACACACAGAGTTGCAATAGGACCAACAAAAACTTTTCTCTTATTTGTGGACTTGAAAGGTAATGTTTCAGTGATTCCTTTATAAACTGCAAAGCTCAAAAGTGTTAATATTGCAAGAAAATACTCAGAATTTATGGAATTGTCAAGGACAATTCATGAAACCAAGATCAATCCTACCTCTATTGTTTGGGGAGCTCATCAAGGTTACCTAAATTCTCTGAGCTATTGTTTCCTAAGAAGTAGAGGAAAAATAACATAAGGTTCTGAGAGGGTTTTATAACATAATTATACACAACACTTAGCAGAGAACCTGGTGTGATGAATGATTATGAGAGATATTTTAGTCTCTTTTTAAATAATTAGAAGAACAGAACAAAAGTTCACTCACACTATATGCAAAAGCCCAAGACTATCTACAGATATTTATTATAATAATACCTATTGAACACATTATATGGCAGCAATAATTATAGCATTAATGATTTTAATATATTTTAAATCATTCAAATCATTTCAAGTGGCTAAATCCAGGATGGGAGAGATGGCTCAGTGGGTACAAGCTCTTATTGCTCTTGAACAGGACCTGTGTTCATTTCCCACTCATGTAATTCCAGTTCCAGGGGTTCCAACCCTCTTGCCTCAGAGGGCACCTGCACTTGTATGGTGCACAAAAGCTTACACAGGACCTAACACTCACATAAATAAAATATTCTTAAAGAAGCTACATCCTCTCTTCCAACATAGAAATAATATGATACCCAATAAGTTTTCATATGTCATACCCTTCCAATCAGAGGTCAAAACAAATAAGCAAGCAGCTATGTGGCAAATGACAAATGCCTCCTGTAGGCTCCAGTACTTGAACACTAGCTTACCAATTGTGGTCTAGGGAGTTTTAGGAGATGCAGCCTTTCTAAAGAAAGGATGACACTGAAGGCTGGGGTCCTGGGGTGTATGTGTGTTTGTTACTTTCCCTCTTGGCCCCACTGACTGATGCCTTCCTTGTAGAGCAGAGAGGATCAAAGGCTTTCTTGAATTCAGAAATAACCTACCTTGGTGACTGTAGCAGCTCCACCAGAATGGTTTTTGGAAGGCTGACTGCTCCCCAAAATTGCTGTTTTTTTCTTGGAAACAGAAATTATTAATTTCAGTGGGAGGGAACACCTTAACAGTGTGCAAATTATCATACCACTAAAAACACTTTATTAAACAACAGTCAGATTAATACACTAAACACACACACAAAGTAAACAATCATTCATAATTTTGCCTGAAGAGTATATAAATAATGAAAAGGAAAGCAAGTTTCACAAAAGTTCTCCCCTGAGCAGTCATCATATTGAACCATAAAGCTTTACTTTCCAAAAATGCCACCCCCTGTGTAGTGGCTATGTCCTTTTTTTATGGTTCGACAGAGCATGTGTAGTGAGCGACACAACCTCTATGGAGGGTGATTTTAGTAATAAATCTTAAAGACACAATTATACTTAGAAAATGTCTTAGAAAAATAAAAGCAAGAACTTTTCAATTAAAATGTGAACTACTATAACATCAAGAAACTGAAAACAGTATACACAATACTTAGGAATGTTGCGTACTTATGATGTGCTAAACACATACTCACTGCCATCCACAAATGGAAGAAAACTGAGATAAATATGGTAGGAAAAAATACATATGAACAAGACACTATTCACACATATCTGGAATGTTTTAAAAAGTTATAAGATAAAACATACACAGACAAAATAAAATGCAGCGCTATTTTACATACAGTGTTTCAAGAGTAGGTGTCTTGTGTCTTACACCAGTATCTTGATTGAAGTGCTGGCTATACAGACCTGCACATATAATAACAGGGCCAGAACAATGCATACATAATGGATAAATATCAGTTCCCTAGGACTGATATTGTACTATGGATATATCATCAATATCAATATATAATAAATATGGATATAGTAATCAACATATGCCATATTTACAACTTCCTGTGAATCGATAATTATTCTGAAATCAAATGTTTTAAACGTGTTAGGGAAAGACATGGAAAGTATAATAAAGATATTAGCCGAGTATTTATAAGCAAAAAGCACAGTGCCTGTGATGAAAATTAAAGCAAGTACAGTTAAGAACTGATTAGATGTCACAGAAGAAAAGACCTGGAGATGGGCAACAGAAAACATCCCAAAAGACCCCAGAGAGCAAAAGGGCCAGAAGAAAGTTATAAGGAGCATGTGGGTATTAGTGAGGGAAACCAAGCTGCTAGCTTACATGTAACTGCCAACTTCCAAGGAAAGGTGTAGAAACAAAGTACTTAAAAAATATGGCCCTAACAATCCAACAATTTTAATAAATCCCAAGGAAGGGTTGGATATTGTGACAATGCACTATTATGAAAATACTTCTTACATTCTGAGAGACTGGAACTTTTGCTGGACCGCACAACCAGAAGTCACCTTGAAGTCACTTAAGACTATAAACTGCTATCCTATTGTGTACTCTGCCTTTAAGAGGACAATGTTACAACCAACTTTACTTGTCTTGGATTTACAGGTTATCAACGTTTATTATCCAAACTAAGGTATAGCTGTAATCTTAAATTATGTACTCTTCCATGCCCTGACCCAGAGTAATGCATATGTGTCAATTGCTGAAGGCAGCAAATACAGAGGTAGAAAGCAACTGCCTAAAATGCACCATAAAGGTTGAACACGTTAATGGACATTGGCTGATGAACAATGATGTTTGTAGCACTGTCTGTTGTCAGGAACAGTTGGGGTAAGTTGGATCCAGTGACTTAGTCCCTTATGAAGCTGTTAAAAGATTTCTGTGAAGTATCCTGTTCCTTCCCCCATGGGACACTTACTGTGCTGTTCAATAAAGACAAAGCAAAGCCCTTTGTTAGGGACAGAAACACACAGTGAAAGACCACACAGACACAGATCACAAGACAGCCTCTAGGCAGGCACAGATTCAGACTCATGCAACAGAGAGAAGATGGAAGGCATAGACAGCATGGAAAGGAAAATTCAAACCTGGACCACTCTTGGTTAAATGACTCCAAGAAGTTCTTATATTTTTTTCTTTAATAAAACACTGATGTATTATTGGTAACTTGAGTTAATCACTATTGCAGTTAATTCATGCCGAGTATAAAATAAAGGAACAAGCAGATCTGTAGCTAGAGTTTTCCTGCCTTGCCCACAGTCAGGACAAATCTTTGTCACCCGCCAGTCCCACAGCCGCTCAGACCCAACCAAGTAAATACAGAGACTTAAATTGCTTACAAACTGTATGGCCGTGTTAGGCTTCTTGCTAACTGTTCTTATAGGTTAAATCAATCTATTTCCATAAATCTATACCTTGCTACGTGGCTCATGGCTTACCAGCATCTTCACATGCTGTTTGTCATGGTGGCTGGCAGCGTCTCCTTCTGCCTTCCTGTTCTCTCTTTTCTCCTCTCTGTTAGTCCCACCTAAACTTCCTGCCTAGCCACTGTCCAATCAGTGTTTTATTCATTGACCAATCAGAGCAATTTGACATACAGACCATCCCATAGCACTTCTTTTCTTTTCTTTTCTTTTTTTTTTTTTTTAAAGAGGAAGGTTTTAACTTTTACACATCTCCAAAGCCAGCTTGGTATATTTGGGAATTTGGGCGTAGCTTCTCTTACTACTTCCTGCTGGAGGGGGGGGGCTGTATCTTATGGGGACACAAAGAAAATTTTAGGATTATGGAGTAGTCCATGAGGGTGTATCATCTGAGCCAGTTGCCTTGAAACAGTTCTGGATGTTGGATCATCTGCGCCATGGTGTCGTTGGAGACCTTTCAGGGGGGGTCTTGGCTGGTCAAACCTGATGTATCTTAATCTGGAACAAATCCATAACCTCTGACTTTCTATGAAAACAAAAGCAGAGCCTCCTTTCCAAAATAACATATACTTACATCCAAAGTTTGAAGTCAAGGTACCTTTAAAATATACATTTTGTCATAACTCAACAGCTTTTGCAATCAAATGTCTTTCTTCAGTTACAAATATCAAAGAGAACATAATCCAGATTCTTATTTTTTTATTTTACCTTGAGCCTATTGCTTTAAACTGCAGCATTCTAAGACTGAAATGGCGCTGTGGCTGCTGGCTCCGCCCACTTCACCTTCCCAACATGGCGGTGGTATGTTTACCACCAGCTCTGGGAGCTTTTATCTATGGGTCTATGCTTTTATCCAAGCAGTGTGTAGCCCAGAAACCTTTTTTGTTTTGTACTAGCAAAGGCTAAATCCACCACGCAGCTTAATGTGCCACTTGTAGAGGCCTCATTCCCGCCATACTGCAGGTCAAGCACACACGCCAGGAACCCGCCATAGTAGCTCAAACACACAGGCTGCCGCTAATTTGAAAGAGACAACTAGGAACTGTTTTTAGCTCTGTTTTAGAATCTTTTTACTCAGGTTTTAGGTGTAAACTCTTGCCAACACATTGGGCGCCAAATGTAGATGTAACCAACTGTTGTATTAAATAAGAAACACAGAACCAATGCAAAGAAGAAAGCCAATAGATCAGAGCTAAGAGCCTTACCGCCTGCTGCAGCTAGCCTGTTGAGCCAAGAGACCTCTCCGGAAAAGAGCTACTTCCTGTCTGTTTGTCTTTATATAGACTTTCTGTTCTGCCTTCTCATTGGTTGTAAAACCAACCACATGACTGCCTCATCACTAGATGAGCACTAGACATTGTACAGCCCTCCAGGTCTTCTATGGTATTGAGATTAAAGGCGTGTGTCTCCAATGCTGGCTGTATCCTTGAACACACAGAGATCTACCTAGCTCTGCCTACCAAGTGCTGGGATTAAAGGCGTGCACCACCAACGCCCAGCTTTTGCTATGGCTCTAATAGCTTTGACCCCCGGGCAACTTTATTTATTAACATACAATTAAAATCATATTTCAGTACAAATAAAATACCACCATACAGATCTTCAAGTTTATATCCTCCAAACACCCAGTGACGATGCCATCTGCCTCATGCAAGGAAGTTGGTGAGACTGTACCTTTCCCCAACCCAGCAATTCTCTTTTCTTTGTCCACATAGAGTGAAGGGCAATGTATGAAGCCACTGGCCTGTCTTTCTACTTAAGACACAGAAAACAGTCTAGAGTCTTCAAGGGGGTGGGATGATGACTCTAGCTCACAATGATTTACATAAGACTAATCTGATGTTACATGTAACAGCTTTGAGTACACAAACTTTTGTGTCTGAATGACTGTGGAAATTTTTAAAGGTTTAACTTGGAAGCTAGCATGCACAAATAACTGCTAAAATGGATTTGGATTCCTGTTTCTTGAACTACCTTAAGAAACTGTAACAAGGGCTAGAGAGATGGCTCAGAGGTTAAGAGCAATGACTGATCTTCCAGAGGTTCTGAGTTCAATTCCCAGCAACCACATGGCAGCTCACAACCACCTGTATTGAGATCTGGTGCCCTCTTCTGGCTTTCAGGGACACATGCAGGCAGAACACTGTATACATAATAAATAAATAAATAAATAAATAAATAAATAAATAAATAAATAAATAAATAAACCTTTTAAAAAAGGAAGAAAGGAAGGGAGGAAGAAAGGAAGAAGGAAAGAAAGACAGACAGACAGACTAACACACCATCTGAATATCTTCAAAGGTAAAACAAATGTTTATCTTCCTAACATACAAATAGTAACTGAAACTGCCAAAGTTACCCAGATTCATATCTGGGTAAACAGAGGAGCAGATAATAATCTTAGTGAAAATAACTGAGGGAAGAGATAAACTGTTTTATAGTATAAAGACAGTGGGAAATGGCTTTCAAATTATGTCAACAATGGAAATTATCTTAGATTATCGTTGAATTTTATTGTTCTGAAGTCACCCATTTCTTATTTCATACCTCTAAGCATTACAATGCACCCTAAAAACAATATGAAACAGCATTGTTCAGATTTCCATCTTTTATTTTTTAATTTGCATTTAACCCATGCATTTTAATTAATAGCATATTAGACTTCGTGGATCATGATTTGTAAGCTCTGGCTAAAATATGTAGCTTTTGGTGTGTTTGTTAAACCAGTTCCATACTTAAGAGTCACTCCA